GATGGGCAGAAAAAATCGGTTCACCTTGGCGAAAAGCGCGACAAAGCGTCGCGGGGGGAGACCCGCCAAGAAGTGACTTCTCAAGTTTTTTCGCTACCACAACCTTCTCGTCCCACTGAGCAGTCTCAAAAAAGAGCAAGGGATGGCTCAGTTATAGTTGGTTCGCTGGCGGTGGGCTCCACAGATGAGGTTTTACCTGGGCAAAGTGTTGCTGGACAGGTGAGTGTATCTGAAAGCGCTCAAGTTCTACCTGGGCAAGATGTGGCTGGACAGGAGACGGCGCTGGAAGGAGCAGTACAAATTCCTGGCGAGGAGACTGACCAAAAAGAAGGAGAAGGTGGGAGCAATGAACTCTGTGGCGATGATACGAAAATATTGGACGTTCTTCCGGTGAAGAAGGGCTATCAGCAATTGCTTACCAAAGGCCTTCTGAATCGGATTTATTGGAAGGTTGCTGTCGGCAAGTTGCCTGTGGGGCAAAAGGACTATCAGAAGGGGTCCAATAAAATGGATCGAAATCTGGTTATTAGCATGTCATCTGAAGGTGCAAGCGAACAGGATTTGAACCTGGCACTGGAAGACGATGCTGATCAGAAAATGGATGATGGTACATTGGTGGTCATGGCATATGACCCTGGTACACTGATTCAGTCGGCAACAACTGTTTGGGTTACGCGTCGTGGTTTGGCTGATCGTGCTATCTGGCCGGCAATAGCGACTGCAGCACAGAGAATATGTGCTGAAATGGTTCAAGTGGATGAACTGAATGCCCAGTTGAACACTGGGAGACTCCTTTTTGAAAGGAGAGATCAAGGACACTACGGAGATTTGCATCATTCGTTCCATGAAGATCCGTGCTTGCCGGTGGTGGGAAATTATCCTCTTTCGGTGATGGGTGCACTGCTTTCTCCTGGCCTGGAAAAGGAATTCAGAAATACTGAAAAGTTTGGAACTGCTATGGAGGCAATAGCCTATGATTGGAGTCGCAGTCCAGGCATGGAAGTTCATGTGGAACTTATGGCAAGGGTAGCCAACCTGGTTGCTCCATTCCTTAGACTAGGAGGCCAAGGGATAGTGGTGAATTCCGAATTTCTCTGGCAGCACGGGAGGGACCAAATGATGGAGTTCCTTCAGGCGGCGACGTGTGCTGATCAATTGGAGGTTCTCTGGAGAAGAATGGACGACGATGCTGATGAGGAAGTGGATCCTTCAGGGATGGTGCTGGAGATCCCCGAACAACAAGATGCGGTATCTGAGCAAGGGATCAATGAATCCCCTATTCCCATTGAAGATGAAGGAAGCGAGACAATTGGTGATGCTGGAAGTGATGGCAAAGCGCCAGAAGTTTCTCCAGAAGAGGAGACATCCAGTGGTTCATCAAGATTGGCTGGCACCAGAATGTTCTTGTGGTCGGTGTATTCTCGTGTTGTTCCCAACTGGGATTTCTCTACGCAGGACCGCACTACGAGTAGGATCTTTGACAGCACGAAGGGGTATCCTGGTGAAGGACCGGACAATGGTGACGATTTTCCTCTAAGAGGAATTTACCCTGGATCTCTGAAGATTATCTCGACGAAGTGATGTCAAAAAAGATGGAAAGGTCTTCAGATGTGGATGGGTTGAATGGGCTTGTTCCGGAAAGTGAGGTACAGTCCGAGAGGGTAGAGGTGGAGAATGTTACTGCCTCTAGAATTCTTATGGCTCTTTGGAAAAAGGGATATAGAGCTGGGTATAGGAGGTTGTGTCGTACAAATCTACCTGGATCCAAGGTTGGAGCAATGAAACATCCAATCAAAAAGGTGCGGAAGATCGGCACTAGAAAGGCCTTCTTGAAAGTGTTCAATGTTTTTGGATCATCTCAGAATGGCTCAGGAGCTGGTGGGAAACCATTCATGAAGGTGATAGGACCAAGACCAGGTTTTCCAGCTGTTCTTGATGCATCAAACATTGATAGCACCTTGGGTGAAAAAGGTAGTCCTTCAGATCATGGCAATGTCCATGTAGGGCGGAATTGTTCCATGGATCGTCTGGAAGCAGAACGCTTGTCGAAAAGGAGGCAAGGTATCTGTTATTGGTTCGCTAAAGGGAACAATCGCTGCAAATTTGGAGAGGACTGCAAGTTTATTCATTCCAATGATGAAGTGGTGCTGCAATCGTATTGGTGCAAATACTATGTGACTGGAAGACACTGTTACGCTGGAGAGGACTGCAAGTTCTCCCACGATGCAACTGGTGTAAGGTGTATCCAGTTTGCTCAGTCTGGGAAATGCCGTCATGGGGACAGGTGTGTCTTTGAGCATGGTGATCCGCTGAATGAACAGAGGCCAAGGTCTCCAAGGACGCCCCCAAGGGATGGTCCGCGGAGGAGTGGTGGAAAGGAACTTTCTCCGGAACGGTATGATGAAGATGAAGAGGATTTCATGGGGTACGACGACGATACCCGGATGATGGAGTTGCTAATGGAGGCAATTTCTTTTCTGTCAGATGGCAAATCTGATTTGGCCCGCGCGGAGGCGGATCCGGTGTTTAAGCTGATAAAGTTCAATGGAGACACTGACCAGAGAGACGCAGAATGGTGTTCGTGGACTACTGGCATGCTGTCTGCATTAGAACTTCACGAGATAGTGAAGTCGCATGAGATTCCACTGGTGGAGGTTGAAGAGTGGATCGATGAGTTGAGGATATGGTTCCAGCGAGCCAATATGAAAGAGGAGAGAGATCCAAAAAAGGATAAAAAGAGGTCCCTAGAAAGGGAGTCCAGTAAGGATAATCCTGCCAAAGAGACGGAGATTGTCGTTGAGGAAGAGGTGAAGATGGCCAAAAAGAAGAGAAAAACTGCTGCAATTGAGGATCCATACACTCTTTTGGTTCCAAAGCCGAAGAAGATGCCGGTTAATATGGAGAAGGGTGGATCATCATCCAATGCGGTGGTGTCTGGAAGGGAAAAGGCCTCTTCGAGAATGCGCACTAAGGCAAGCGTCTCGGGAAAGATGAAAAAGAAAGAGAAAAGTCAAAGTCCCAAGAAGGAAGAGGTGGTCGTGGTGGAAGGTCCGGATGAGAAGGACCGTCCTTCTGAAGCGGAGGCGCAGTCATCTACCACTGTTAATGCAGATCTGGGACAATCTTGCCAGGCAATTGAGGATGCGAAGAGAGAGGGGTTGATATCCTCAATTCAGAGGGGTATACAAGATCCTGTTCTTACAGTGTCGGACCTGGAGCATGTTTTGCTGCGACTTCACCTGAGTATCGGTGGCCATTGGAAGGAAAAGAAGGGATGACTGGATGGTATCGATGAGGGAATGGGTTTTTCTCTTTCTGGAGACACGTGCGCTGGAACGGCCAATGTGCTGGAAGTATGGTGGTTACTATTAAGGATATGGAAATCCCTGATAGTAGAGAGTGTACAGCTTTTCGCGTAGCGAAGACCACGGTTTGTGGTGAAGAAGGCTAAGAGTCTTCAATGACAAGAGAATCATGGTGGTAAAAAAGATTCTCTATAGTGAAGGGTGTTTAGCCAATGTGCTATAAATTCGTCCTGGATGACGTAAAACCACAGTTTGCGTTCCAAGCAGCTGGCTGCTGCCTTAATGGCAGTTTTTGGCCAAAAGTCTGCACCTCCAGTGTGTGTCCTAGGAAATCCTAGGACAGGGGGAGTGCGGAGCTGCAGTTTGTATTGAAGAAAAGAGTTGGTGTAGAAGGATTAAGGGTCAATGAACCCGGTACTAATTTTTGGCTCAAGATCGGGCCATGCGCCTCGTGAACAAAGGGTGCTTGGTGTTTTGGGTTGGTTTTGTTGTTTGTTGGTCCAGGGGATCAAGGGCTTCTGTTGGGGTTGACTGTCTTGTTCCCTGTCCTCCTTCGGTTGCCCCCCGTACCCTAAACCCTAAACCCTAAACCCTAAACCCTGAACCCTGAACCCTGAACCCTAAACCCTAAACATGCATGTGATTTGCAGGTTATTCCACTCTGGGGCTTGGGAACATGCCGATAAGCCCCCCAAACCCTTGGGAATCCCAAATGTATCAAACATGCCCCAAGATGTGGGTGTAGGGTTTAGGGTTTAGGGTTTAGGGTTTGGGGCGACGTCATGAAGCACCCCAAAGAGGTCCTGCAGGGAAGGCAGCTCCTACCCCTCCATCCCACTCTGGGTCTGGTGCTTCTACCTGCTGCCGCTGCCCTTGCAACTGCTCACAGAGCTCCTTCTGCAAGAATTCTGATTGGGTTCGTAGGGTTGATAGGATTTACAGGGTTTTTTGGGGTTAAAAGGGTTTACTTTTTTTTGAGTTTAGAGGGTTTGTAGGGTCTATGGGGTTTATAGGGTTTATAGGGTTTGCAGGCTTTGTAGGGTTTGTAGGGTTTATAGCGTTTAGTGTTTGTAGTGTCTATAGGGTTTGTAGTGTCTATAGGGTTTGTAGGGTTTATCGGGGGTTGTAGGGTGTTGGGATTTGTGGGCTACAAGGAGTATTCAGATTCTCGAGGGCAGAATTGTTGGCCCTGACACCCCAAAACCCTGAACTCTTCTATGTGAATGAAGACTCTGCCATTGTGTAGTCTCGGAAAAACCAGCCATCGTTCACTTCCGTTTGCGCATGTGGTTTAGGTTTTGGTGTTTCTGTCCTCCACTCTTTTTGGTACATCCTCGTCATGCCTGCTTCTTTGCACAGCTGTCAATGTCAAGACGAATGCCCGTCCGCACTTCTTGGTCCGAGGAGTGCAAGGCTGTGCGCGTGGTGCTGCTGACTTTCACACGGGACATGCTGAGGTACAAGGCCATGGTCTAAGGGATTTAGGTAAGCAGGGCAAGCTGTGTGAGTCAACCTGACCATGGGGGCCCCCTGAAGCCCAAATCTGGGTAGGACCTCGGGACATTTTTTGTATTTACCCTTATTGGGTTCGAAATGTTTTCCAGGTTCAACAACGGGCAAGCCTAGAAATCCTTCCCCAAGAAGCGTGGAAGCTTTGGCTTCCACAAGCTGCGGCAGGGCCACGCCTTCAAGGTCATGGGCTGGCCTGCCAGCGTCGGGCTGTGGCACGGCTACAACATAGCGATGCTGCTTCTGGGCCTCCTGGACATCTATTCGGACACGGCCTTTGCTGGCATCATGAGCTTCGGAGGTGGCCAAAGGGGGGTGGGGAGGGAGCTTGCGGGAGGGGGTGGAAGGGGCCGCCTCACTCGGCTCCGTATTACGTGTAGAGGTTATGTCGTGGAGCAAGAGCAGATTCAAGTCCATAGTAGCATGCTCAGATAGACGTTTAGCCTTGGGGTGGTAGTGCTCGGAGTGTTGAGAGCCTCGGGAGAAAAGCGGGGATCGCAGATCTGACGCTTGACGTTGTGGCTGAGAGGTACCGACATGTGTTCGGCCGGACGCACCGCCTCCCTGTGGAAGTACTGGTGGCAGCACAGCGCACTTGGCTTCCTTCCTATTGCAGCTCCCGCACTCGATACGCTGATCCTAGCTTCCTGGGCACTGATGCTGCTGCAGCAGCTGCTTCCCCTGGCGACTTGGATCTCAAAAAGTGTGGGGGGGGGGGGGGAGGGGGGGGTTGTGGGATGTTTGAGGGTGACACTCAGACGTAAGAAGCTTTGTGACAACTTGCGCAGAGGCCACCATGGTCAGGAAGGAGCGCGTGAGCTACGAGCAGGGGGCCGATGGAAAGGCAACCTCCGCCCTGGCGTGTGATCCTCTCTTCAACGACGATGTGTTCTTCGAGCTCTCGGAAGCTGCGTGCTTCCAGTCCATCGTCGAGACTATATCCCCCTTGGGAATTATTTGTATTTTTGGTTTGTATAAAGGCCAAGAGGATATTAAAAAATGCTGTTTTCATTAAGGTTCTAAGGGGAGTATAGGAGATCTCAACGGATCACGCGATCTGCCAAATGGAGCGGCTGGTTCTGGAGGGAAGGCACTGGAAGAACTCTGGGGAGACCGCCAGCATCCTTGTGAGAAGGCTTTGTTTGTAGAGCAAATTAGGCTACTGAAGCAACTACAAGTTTGCTTGGTACATCCAGGAACTAGTAACCCCTAAACCGTAAACCCTAAACCCTAAACCCTAAACCCTAAGCCCTAAGCCCTAAACCCTAAACAGGCCTAAACCCTAAATGCTCTCTATACCTTTGAGCTCTGGCCGTTCCCAGGATCATGGGTTATGGCAGGCCCCTTTGCAACCGGCTGATGAAGCGCTTCCTCCTGTCCTATGTTCTCGAGATGCTTAGCGCACTGAGCAGCCTCTTTGTGTCTCAGGTTCTTGGCCGGCTCAGACTTTTAACCCTAAACTCTAAACCCTAAACCCTAAACTGAAAACCCTAAACCCTAAACCCTAAACCCTAAACCCTAAACCCTAAACCCTAAACCCTAAACCCTAAACCCTAAACCCTAAACCCTAAACCCTAAACCCTAAACCCTAAACCCTAAACCCTAAACCCTAAACCCTAAACCCTAAACTGAAAACCCTAAACTGAAAACCCTAAACCCTAAACCCTAAACCCTAAACCCTAAACCCTAAACCCTAAACCCTAAACCCTAAACCCTAAACCCTAAACCCTAAACCCTAAACTCTAAACCCAAACCCTCGACGCTAAACCCTGTACCCAAGGAACTGCATTCAACTCAACTTGCAAGCTTACACTCTGGCCATCAACCAGTACCAGGTGCACCCATGCGGCTTTGTGTGTTGAAACCTCCCGGAAGGTCTCAGAAAGAAAGTCTTGGGGTGCCTTCTTCGGTGTCAGCCCCCCGAAGCCCATTCCTGAACCTCATCCCTACACCCATCTAGACACCCTCAAGGCCCCTAAAAAACCCCTAAACCCCAAGCCCTAAGCCCTAAGCCCTAAGCCCTAAGCCCTAAACCCTAAACCCTAAACCCTCAGCCCTAAACCCTAAACCCTAAACCCTAAAGAACCCGCAGGCCAAGCACCTGGCGGTCCTCCCACGCTTCTCACTGGTGGTTGGCATGCTGATGGCGGCGAGGAAGGCCGGTGAGATCGTGGGCTTCCTGTGGAATCTGCTCCCTCGCGTCGAAGACATTGCTGAGGAAGCGGAGCTCCAGGAAAACCCAAGCAAAGAGCAGCGCGGCAAGTTTGAGTCGGGCCTTGCGCTGTTTCACCGGGCGCGGGTCTGTTCCATGCTGGCGCTGCTGCTGATCGGCTTTTCGCTCTTCACCGCCTGTTTCACGCTCCTCGGGCTGCAGCTCTGCCCGGAAGGGGTGATCACGTTGAAAGGCTGCCTGGAGGTTCCCGCAGGCCTCCTGCCATCAGAATCGGAGGCTCGGCTGCTTGGCTGACCCGATCCCGCTTGTGCGAACGTGAGCTGGCGCTTCAACGTCTCAGCTTGCAAAAGCTTTCCAACCCTGCCGGGCACCTTGGCGAATCACAGGCCATTACGCATGGGAGTGCCTGTCACACCTGCGTCGATGCCAGCTCACTTTCAGCTTCCAGTCCAGGGGGGGGGCACCAAATTACGCCAACTTACGCCAACTTCCGCTGACTTACGCTAACTTACGCCAACTTACGCTAACTTACGCTAACTTACGAAAACTTACGCTGACTTACGCTAACTTACGCTAACTTACGCGGGGGGGGGGGGGGGGGGGGATGGACTAGTCCGTCGTCTTTGCGCCTTTAGAGAACTGTTGAACTGCGTGAAGAGGGCATGGCGAGGGCAGAAAGCAGCCTGGGTACCTCAACCCTCAACCCTCGACCAGCCCCCAGAGGCTAAAGGTAGGCCTTCTCAGACGGCACAGAGTTTAAGAGGGCATCCTCGGTTTTTTTTTTTGGCGGTGGCAGGGGGGGGGGGGGGGGGGGATAGAGGTTTTACAGGGTTTTGTTTGGGAGCTGCGGCTTCTGGATTGAGGGCTCCTGGGAGCTAAAGTGCCTCCGCGCAGTCACTCTCTCTCTTATGCGCCGCGGCTCTACACTCTAAGCCCGAAAACCCCGGCCCCCCCAAACCTCAGCCCCTAATCCCGAAACTATGCCAGGATGTGGTTCCAGCCCGAGGGTTTTAGCACGAAGAATGCATTCATTGGATCTGACGCACGACGTACCCAAAGAGACAGCACGTACAGCAAGGGCAATCTGGATCTTGAGCCGTAGTCTCACTTTTCACTCCAGAAGTCACTTGTATGACAGCAACAACGGTTTAGGGTTTAGGGTTTAGGGTTTAGGGTTTAGGGTTTAGGGTTTAGGGTTTAGGGTGTGTCAGGGGAGGGCGCGCGCTCGGGTGTGAAACACCCCGGGCCGCGCGCTCGCGTTGCCCGTCAACCCACCCCGGCCACCCAAGCTATACTCTATTAGGGTTTAGGGTTTATGGACTTTTTCTTGTGCACCGATGCTTGCTTTGTTGAAGTTGGTGTTGGGGTTTAAGCTGGAGTCGAGGGTAGCCTCGGCCCTGTTCGGACCTTCGGCGTGTCAGGGCCTTGTTTTCGCCAATGAGTATTTCATTCGCTAGGGTTTAAGCTGCGGTTCGGGGTAGCCTCGGCCCTTTTCGGGCCTTCGGCACGTCAGGGCCCGCAGAGGCCCTTGCTGATTTGGGGGCTTCCTGGGGCTTTCCTGGTCCTTTTGGGGTGAAATGGAGGGGTGCCCAAAACCATCGATTTCAGTACTAAGAAATATCATTTTTCATTGCGGGCAGGGGTGCCTAAAACCATCGTTTTCAAGAGTGAAAAATCGCATTTTTCATTGCGGGCACGGACAAATCTTGGGTAGGGGGCTTTTAAAGCTTTTGAAGCTTTTGAAGCCTTTTGGTGGCTCTTGGCGCCTCTTGGGGGCTTCCTGGCCTTTCCTGGCGCTTCTGGTGTAAACTGGATGGGTTCGCAAAACCACACTTGGGCCGGGGCCCTTTGGTGCGGGGGGCCTTCCTCGGGGCCAAGGACCGGGCCAAGGACCCCCTACCAAACACGCGTGCGGATCAAGGGCGCTGCTCGGCTGGGCAAGTTGGTTGGAGGGGCCCCGTCCTTGGTCGGGGGGCCCTTGGTCCTGGCGAAGTTTGGGGGTCCTTGCCCTGCACCCTTAGGTGGGCCCTTGGGGGGTTTGGCAAGGGGGGCTCAGAGCCAGGGAAGGGGCGGCGGCAACCGTCTGCCTGGATTTTCTCACGTGCCCTCTGGTCCAGGAATCCAGGCCGCCAGGGGCAGGGGGCCCCCCACCAGGGGGGGCCCAGCAAGCCCTGAACCCAAAACCCTGAACCACGTCCAGAAACAAAGGGTTGCGCTTTGGGGTTATTATACTTTAGCTACGCTAAAGGTGGTCTGGGTGCCGGCCATCCCTTAGCCGAGTACTGACGTTGTCGTTAAAAAGGCCGATGTCCGTTGGCCTGTCCAGGACAGACGGTGAGGCTTAACCGTTGCTCTTTTCGCTTGGGCGCTCGAGCTGTAAGGCCCTCGGCCGAGCGTTCGGGGTCTGTCGCTCGACGGAAGCGACCCCTCACTTAGTTTAGGGTTTAGGGTACCGGATTGCATGCTCCATGTCTGCCTGCTTGGGGCTGCTCCCGATTAAGCGGCAGTCAGAGGCTGGCACATGCTACAAGACAATGTCTCATACCGAAAGATCGGTACAGCCCATTAAAGCTAGCAGGCTAAGCAGTGGGTTGCAATTATTGCAAAATTGTATAGAGTGTTGTCAAGGTATCCGCAGAGGCGGCTGTAACGTTTCCAGTATCGCATCTCTTCTGGGTACTGTGCTGTCATGGCTTCTCGCTGACAGGTCAGGTCCTGGGCATCTGGACGTTGCATGGGCGGAGACAGGACCGGACAGGGCGGTGAAAGAGCAACGTGTTCCCAATACCCTATACCCGTAAAGTTCTGAACTCTGAAAAAACGGGCAAGGTTCTTTTTTCAGTCCATCAATCCCTTCCTGTCACTTCTTTGAGAGCCCATGGTCCCCGGAGTCCGGAGCATCTGGGGAGTCAGAGCAGGAGAAGGAGTAGGAGTCGGAGTAGGAGTAGGAGTAGGAGTAGGAGGAGAAGCAGGTCTAAGCTTGTTGTGCTTGGCAGGTACAGCTCGAGCGTTTCATGTTCTTTCTCAGCACGTCCGGCATTTTCTTTGTAGATGAGGTGTTGTGCAGATCTGCAGACATCAGGGCTTTCAGTTCTAACTGGCTTTTTAATCTTCAATCCCTCAACCCCGAAACCCTAACGAACCTAACCTGGTTTGTTCCAAAACCCTAAACCCTAAACCCTAAACCCTAAACCCTAAACCCTAAACCCTAAACCCTAAACCCTAAACCCTAAACCCTAAACCCTAAACCCTAAACCCTAAACCCTAAACCCTAAACCCTAAACTAAACCTAAACCCTAAACCCTAAACCCTACCTAACCCTACCCTACACCCTAAACCCTACCCTACACCCTAAACCTAACCCCCTAAAACCCTAAACCCTAAACCCGAAACCCTAAACCCGAACCCTAAACCCTAAACCCTTAACCTAAACCCCTATACCCCGAAACCCAAACCCTAAACCCTTAACCTTAACCCTAACACTAAACCCCTAACCCCCCCTACCCCTAACCCCTAACCCCTAAACCCCTAAACCCTATACCCCGAACCCTAAACCCTTAAACCCTAAACCCTAAACCCCTAAACCCTAAACCTCTAAACCTAAAACCCTAAACCCTAACCCTTAAACCCTAACCCTAAACCCTACACTTACCCCTACACTACCCACCTACCTAAACCCTAAACCCTAAACCCCCAAACCCTAAACCCTAAACTAAACCCTAAACCCTAAACCCTAAACCCTAAACCCGAAACCCTAAACCCTAAACCCTAACCCTAAACCCCTATACCCCTAAACCCTAAACCCTAAACCCTTAACCCTTAACCCTTAACCCTAAACCCCTAAACCCCTAAACCCCTAAACCCCTAAACCCCTAAACCCCTAAACCCCTAAACCCCTATACCCCGAAACCCTAAACCCTAAACCCTAAACCCTACACCCTAAACCCTAAACCCTAAACCCTAAACCCTAAACCCTAAAACCCTAAACCCTAAACCCTAAACCCTTAACCCTTAAACCCTTAACCCTAAATCCTAAACCCAAAACCCAAGCGCAACTTGTAGCTGCCCGGCAAAACAAAGGGGTCTGAAAGAAGAGGGGTTTAGGGTTTAGGGTTTAGGGTTTAGGGTTTAGGGTTGAGGGGGGTTCCCTTTGTCATCTTCGCCACTTAAGGCCGTCTTACTGCTTTGTGCCTTTTGCTAGGTTTGTTGGAGTGGTTGGAACTCTGATTCGAGCACCAAAACAGCACTTCGAGGGTGTCTGGACATGCTGCGATTGTCATTCTGGCTATGGTTTCGGGTTTCGGGTTTAGGGTTTAGGGTTTCGGGTTTAGGGTTTTTTTGTCCCTTCCTTGCCAGGAGAATGCAGCCTGTGGAAGCCGAAGTGGAGCAGGCCGTGCACACCTGTGTCTTTTGTCAAGAGTTCTGCTTGCGAGTAGAAGAATCATCATAACATAGTAAGAATATTCATAATATAATATTAATAATGTTGGTAATGATAATATTATTAATAGTGTTAGTAATATGAATAATATTAGTAATATAAATCATATTAGTAGCCTTCAGAAGAGCAGACGACGACGACTGCCAGCGGCGCGACCACTCGTAGGATCGGTGAGTGGAAGCACTGCCCCATAGCCGCTTCTGGTCCACTTGTGGGTTGCTGCTGCGGCTGCTGTTTCACTAACACCTCCAATGGGTTTCAGCCGCGGTCATCCTGAAGTGAGGTGTGACCTAACATACCAAACCCCAGCCCTTCAGATTGGATTACTTTAGAAAAATTTCACGGATTCTGCACTGGGCAATGGCACCTGGCCACCGCCTCCGGCGCCCGCTCTCCTTCGAAGCCAGCTCGCTGCGCAGCACAACAACTCGACAGCTGCTGATCGGGCTTGGGATGATCTTCAACCCGGACCTTCATACCTTGCTCTGCGCCGGCGGATTCGCTGGCATCCGATTTCCGACGATGGAGCAGATGCAGAAAGCAGGAGATACTTTGTTTGATGCATCCGTGGAGACAGCCAACGTGGACCTGTTCATTAGTCATTCTTGGAGCGCAGGCCGTTGGGAGAAGTTTCTGGCTCTCTGCTTGTATCTCAACCTACAGATGGCCGTCGGATGTTGCATGATCACGTGGATGTTCTTCGTGGTGCTGTTGATCTCCCTGCATGGTGCATCAGGTCTCGGGGGAAGTCGACTACTTCTCCCCTGCTTTGTGTACCTGCCGATGGCGACGTTCTTTGTGGTCTTCTTTTTTGGACAGCAGCTTTCGGTCGGACGGTGCTCTCCGTCGGTTTGGATAGACCGGTTGTGCATCCATCAGACAGATCTGGAGCTGAAAGCCGAGCAAATCAAGTCCGTGCCCACCTTCGTCGTGCGTTCTTCCCGGATGCTCATCCTCTGTGATGGGTCCTACTTCGAGAGATTGTGGTGCAACCTAGAGCTGGCTACTTTTGCTCGACATGGAGGTGTGGAGAAGGTTGACGTGCTGCCTCTCTGGCTTGCTCCCTGGCTGCTCTGCTGCATCTTGCTGGAGCTCATCAGCGCCAACTTGATGGATCTTTCGCAGCTCGTGTTTCCAGATTGGATGCTAACGATGGACAAGCATATCATGGGGGGGGCTGCGCCGCTTGCGGGAGGCAACCCAGTCTTGCTGGGATTTGTCGGTTGGTTGGTCATCTGGATGACGTCATCGATCGCAACGCTCCCTGCCTCCATACCCAGCTTCTTCTCCTTCCGCATGAAGATTCGGCATCACCAGCTTATCTTGGATCAAATGGCGGACTTCGACGTAAGGGCGGCAAAGTGTTCTGAGCGATCGGACCGGGATGCCATCGAACAGCAGCTGCAGGAGATCTTTTGTGAGCAGGACTTGCCCGGGCTCCCTTCTGAAGCCGTGGATGAGGGGGAGGTGAAGGTTCAGCGGTTTGTGAGCTACCATGCCACAGGCGATCCGCTGGACCGCTTCAATGCCTACATTCGAGGCGTCCTTCGTGACTTTGTCATGATGCAGATCGGCGATGAAATCTACGTACCCTGGCCACTGTGTCTGACTACTTGCTTGCCTATGATTTTGTATTCCTCTGTGAACGTGCTGGGCTGCGACAACAGCTCTTGCGAGGAATCTGCACGTGTGGCAGGTGCTTCCTCGATTCTCCAATACATGCTGGCCGATGTGATGGGCTGGACACTCAACATTTTGCTGACCTTCCCACTCACCTATCCGGTGATGCTGCGGATGCTGAAGTGTGTTCTGTCCTTCGGCGATGGTCCGGTGCAACGATGTGCAGCTTTCTTGTGCTGCTTCCTGGCATATGAATACACGTATGTATGTGGCGGCTTGCTCTGGGCCTCTTTGCTTTCTGTTTTGACAGTCCGCTCCCCAACTCAGCTCCTGTGTTTCCTGTCGGTCATGATTGCCTTGGTCATCCAGAGCCTCTGTTTGTTTTGCAGGTGGGAAAGGCAAGGTCAGAAACACCAGTCATCATGTCGCTGTGTCCAACGACAAGTCGCGACCTATCAGCCAATGGACGCCACAAGTGTTTCGCCTTCGGCCTTCAATGAATCGGCTGAGTGAGTCGATAGCAGTAGTCACCAGCTGTGTGGCAAGAGAGGACGGAGCCTACCGTGGAAGCTTCTGACGTGGTTAAGGCTAGGGCCTGTGCAAAGTGTTGAGATCGTCCTTGGCAAGAACAATCAGAAAATAGTAAGAATATTAATAATATTAACAATATTCGTAATATCAAAAGTTTCAATACTATTAATAATCCAACTAATGCCAATAATATTCATGATGATAACCTAAACCCTAAACCCTAAACCCTAAACCCTAAACCCTAAACCCTAAACCCTAAACCCTAAACCCTAAACCCTAAACCCTAAACCCTAAACCCTAAACCCTAAACCCTAAAAAGGACCCGTAGTTGAAGCAACGCCTTTTTTTTCAATGGGCGGTTTCAATAACAGGCTCTGTGGTTGCGGGGGCGTGGAGATGGAAGGCACGAGTCCTTCTCGGTTTGCGATCTGTGTCTTTGCTGCTGGCATTCGTGAGAGTCCAGTTGCAAAAAAGGCTCTGTGGTGTTCGCTCTGCATCTGTTGAAGTTTGGCAGAGAAGAGCCCAATCTGAGTCTTTCCAGAGTGTCTCATACTTTGCATGGCTCTAAGAATTTGGCAGTTTAGCCTGCTGTTTCCTTGCTATGTTGTTCTGGGATAATAACAGTGTAGTTTAAAAGCTTAGCAGGCCGTGCGCGCCCGTGTTTTGTCAGCAGAAGGTCTGCTTGCGAGTCGAACCGTAGAAGGGTCAGCAGACGACGACTGCCCGCAGCGCGACCACTCGTAGGATCGGTGAGTGGAAGCACTGCCCCATAGCCGCTTCTGGTCCACTTGTGGGTTGCTGCTGCGGCTGCTGTTTCACTAACACCTCCAATGGGTTTCAGCCGCAGTCATCCTGAAGTGAGGTGTGACCTAACATACCAAACCCCAGCCCTTCAGATTGGATTACTTTAGAAAAATTTCACGGATTCTGCACTGGGCAATGGCACCTGGCCACCGCCTCCGGCGCCCGCTCTCCTTCGAAGCCAGCTCGCTGCGCAGCACAACAACTCGACAGCTGCTGATCGGGCTTGGGATGATCTTCAACCCGGACCTTCATACCTTGCTCTGCGCCGGCGGATTCGCTGGCATCCGATTTCCGACGATGGAGCAGATGCAGAAAGCAGGAGATACTTTGTTTGATGCATCCGTGGAGACAGCCAACGTGGACCTGTTCATTAGTCATTCTTGGAGCGCAGGCCGTTGGGAGAAGTTTCTGGCTCTCTGCTTGTATCTCAACCTACAGATGGCCGTCGGATGTTGCATGATCACGTGGATGTTCTTCGTGGTGCTGTTGATCTCCCTGCATGGTGCATCAGGTCTCGGGGGAAGTCGACTACTTCTCCCCTGCTTTGTGTACCTGCCGATGGCGACGTTCTTTGTGGTCTTCTTTTTTGGACAGCAGCTTTCGGTCGGACGGTGCTCTCCGTCGGTTTGGATAGACCGGTTGTGCATCCATCAGACAGATCTGGAGCTGAAAGCCGAGCAAATCAAGTCCGTGCCGACCTTCGTCGTGCGTTCTTCCCGGATGCTCATCCTCTGTGATGGGTCCTACTTCGAGAGATTGTGGTGCAACCTAGAGCTGGCTACTTTTGCTCGACATGGAGGTGTGGAGAAGGTTGACGTGCTGCCCCTCTGGCTTGCTCCCTGGCTGCTCTGCTGCATCTTGCTGGAGCTCCTCAGCGCGAACTTGATGGATCTTTCGCAGCTTTTGTTTCCAAATTGGATGCTCACGATGGACAAGCATATCATGGGGGTCGCTGCGACACTTGCGGGAGGCAACCCAGTCTTGCTGGGATTTGTCGGCTGGTTGGTCATCTGGATGACGTCATCGATGTCCACGCTCCCTGCCTCTATACCCAGCTTCTTCTCCTTCCGCATGAAGATTCGGCATCACCAGCTTATCTTGGATCAAATGGCGGCCTTCGACGTAAGGGCGGCAAAGTGTTCTGAGCTTTCGGACCGGGATGCCATCGAACAGCAACTGCAGGAGGTCTTCTGTGAACAGGACTTGCCCGGGCTGGGTTCTGATGCCGTGGATGAGGGGGAGGTGAAGGTCCAGCGGTTTGTGAGCTACTATGCCACAGGGGATCCGCTGGACCGCTTCAATGCCTATGTTCGAGGCGTCCTTCGTGACATTGTCATGATGCAGATCGGCGATGAGATCTACGTACCCTGGCCGCTGTGTCTGACTACCTGCCTGCCTATGATTTTGTATTCCTCTGTGAACGTGCTGGGCTGCGACAACGGCTCTTGCGAGGAGTCTGCGCGTGTGGCAGGTGCTGCCTCGATGCTCCAATACATGCTGGCCAACGTTGCGGGCTGGACACTCAACATTTTGCTGACATTCCCACTCACCTATCCGGTGATGCTGCGGATGCTGAAGTGTGTTCTGTCCTTCGGCGATGGTCCGGTGCAGCGCTGTGCAGCTTTCTTGTGCTGCTTCCTGGCATATGAGTACACGTATGTATGTGGCGGCTTGCTCTGGGGTTCGTGGATTCCTGCTGTGCAGAACCCCTCGCCAACTCAGCTTGCAGTTTTCCTGTTGGTGATCTCTTTCTTGGTCATCCAGTGCATTTGCTTGTTTTACAGATGGGAAAGGCAAGGCCATGAACACCAGTCATCGTGTCGCTGCTTCCAACGACAAGTCGCGACCTATCAGCCAATGGACGCCGCAAGTGTTTTACCGCCAGCCTTCTTCAGCGAATCGCCTGAATGAGCCGATGGCCGTAGTCACCGGATGCTTCGCGTCAGGAGGACGGACTGTACTGTGGAAGCTTCTGGTGTGCTTAGGACCTTTGCATATTTAACCCTAAACCCTAAACCCTAAACCCTAAACCCTAAACCCTGGTGTAGTCTCGAGGGTGCAACCCCGAGAGTCCACTGCACAGCCGCCTCTGGCGCTCTTCGCGCACATGCTGCGGAGGTTAGAGGTGTAGTTCCTCACCTCCAGAGTAGTATCATCATCATTCGTGTTACTATTGCTGCCCTTGTTAAGCTATCTTTTGCTTTCATCATTATTCTTTCTGCACGTTCCTCTGCGTTTCACCAAAGAACCGGAAGGACCTGTAGTCGAAGCAACTCAATTTGGTCAGGGTTGTCAGTACGGGCTCCGTGCTTTGCGGGGTATCTCTTGAGGCTTGACGGAGAAGAGCCCAAGCGTCAACTTCGAGTGTGTTCTTATCGTATTGTGCGGCTCCAGGAGTAGAGCATTCCTTTCTCTGCCGTTTGTTGATACATTACGTTATACCCCAAGCCCTAAAACCTTAGCCCAACTTCGAAGTAGTTGCTCTCTGTGCCTCGGAAAGGAGTTTACAGAGAGTGACGACCTTGGTGTAGCCTCTTCTCCGAGTTCACGTTGGGTTGGTATGCTTGTTCAAGTCGCCTCCGCGTCTTCCTTACCATGTCAGGCTGTTCTAAGAGCTTGCTGTGGTCGTCTCACTGAATCAAAGACCTCGCCTGGCTTGTCCGAGAGTGAGCGCCGAAACCCTATAGAGCCTGTCCTACATCTGAAGGCCCCTTTTTTTAGATGGCACCGTTTATAGAGCCCATCACAGGACCCTTGAACAGAACTCGTTAAGGGTTTAGGATTTAGGGTTTAGGGTTTAGGGTTTAGGGTTTAGGGTTTAGGATTTAGGGTCTAGGGTCTAGGGTTTTAGGGTTTAGGGTCAAGTGAGCACATGCACTGGGGGCCCAGAAGCCACTCCTCCCCTTGATTGAACCTCCTTGTTTTGCAGTTTTTTCTCACCTTCCCCTTCCGAGTGTGATCCTCAACCATTTGTGGTGACTAAGAGCCTCAACTAGGGTTTAGGGTTTAGGGTTTAGGCTTTAAGGTTTTATCAATGAAGGAGAGGATCTTGGCTGTCCTCTTTGCGTTTAGGGGCGCGTCTTGTTGTGGAGCGCTTCTCGGGGAGTAGTTGGTAGTTTCACTCAGCAGACCTCGGAGCACATGCCCCGCCTGGATTGTCCGAGTGTGAGCGTCGACACCCCTAAACCCCTCAACCCCTAACCCTAAAACTCCTAAACCCCTAGTCCCCTAAACCCTAAACCCTAAACCCCTAAACCCTAAACCCTAAACTTTAAACCCTAAACCCTAAACCCTAAGCCCTAAACGAAGCGAAACCGACAGGCCCCAAGAGGAGCAGCTTGCGCAGATGCCGTGGTTGCCATCAGCGCTGCTGAGCCGCTGGGAAGTGTAGGGTTTAGGGTTTAGGGTTTAGGGTTTAGGGGTTAGGGTTTAGGGTTTAGGGTTTAGGGTTTTTTAGGGTTTAGGGTGTAGGGTGTAGGGTGTAGGGTGTAGGGCAGATAATTGTCAATGCTCTTTCACACGATTTGAGCACAGCAAATGGTGATCTCAGGAAGTGGAAAGAGAGAAAGGGAGCGTGTGCGCATGCCAGCCGCCACAGCCGCCACAGAGGCAACAGGTGCTTTGAAGTACGAAGGGTCTTGCGCAGCTGCACGCGGCGTCCCTAGTCTCATGAGTAGCCAGAGTGAGCCCATTCCCTGGGCGTGAAGGTGAAGGAAGATGTAAGCTCGCGCCTGTTCCCAAGAGCCCCCTCCAAGCATTTTCTGTCCCGAATCTGCTTCTGCGACACTCGCTTGCGGGCCAAGTACCTGAGGATCACGTCCTCTTCGCATGCAAAGCTACACACCGGCGCGGCTCTGTCACAGTCCCTGCTCCGGCAGCACCTGACATTCTCACTTATGGTTTAGGGTTTAGGGTTTAGGGTTTTCAACCCTAGCACCGGGCCTTGAACTTGGAGACGCCAGAACCTAACTTACATTGCTACACCTTACCGGTCGAGGTTGGTCCTGCACTCCGGGCTTGGAGGTTCATGGGTGCTTATAACCACAATTACACATCTACTTATAACCTACTTAGGGACTTAGGGGAATTAGGGGGGCTTACAAGTACAGTTATAGGTTATAGGGGTTCTAAGTACCCCCTGAACCTCCAAGGAGATGTCATGCCAGCAGCCTTGAGCCACAGCTCCCGTCTTGGGTCAGTAGACGGTTCGGGCGTGAGATCCTCTGAATTCACTGCAAGGTGGCGGAGCTGCAGCGCGGTTCAAACAGACCGCGTGTGTGCATGTCAGCGTATGAACTGCTGAAAGGAAGTTTGAGCAGTAATATCGACCCAATAGTGAAAGGGGAATTTTCACGGTGAGCGTGCAAGGCAGAGTCAGACATGTCCAAACCAATCCTTTGGACACTGACACCGGGTGTTGTGGACAATCCTTCTGGACATCAGGTATATACCATTATATACCATCATATACAATTATATACCATTATATACCATTATATACCACTATATACCATTATATACCATTCTATACCAGGATACACCCATATTGCATCCCACTGAAGAAACCCGACCAGCTCAAGGCTCTGAACGTTTGCCTTACGCCCTTGGCTCAAGCACTGTGAGCTGGCACCGCTACAGGCAGAAAGCTCTCAGCCCCCAGCACCTCATCCCCCCTGTGCCTCTGCAATGAGCACCCAAGCATTTTTTTCACCTTAGAATGTACAGAAGTTGACAAAGCAAGAAAGTGCACACCCAGCATCGCAGGCTGCTGCAGCCTGCACGGAGCCCGAACCCTGAACATCCCCAACAGGCCCTAAGCTAACCGACGGCCTTGCACATCTTGGGAGCACCCAAGTCTCCCTGGGTGTGCTGCTTGGTTCTGAAGAGCAGAGCCCGCGCCCGGCCATGATTCTTCTGATGATCCCTCCATGATTCCGAGCTCTTCCGCAGCAGCCTTAAGCGTTACATAGGTATTATGGAGTATATATATATATATAAATATAGAGATTGAACACGCAAAGAGGGGACGATTTCGCGGAGCAGACACTCAGACACTCAGACACTCAGACACTCAGACACTCAGACACTCAGACACTCAGACACTCAGACACTCAGACACTCAGACACTCCCAACTACGCAGACAGTCAAACACATAATCCACACGGGTTTATTACTACCCAACTTCATAGGAAAATCACTGTTCTGCTGTACTTGGGTACGAGACCGGTGAGCAAGCAAGACTCCTGCGCCCCATTTGCACGTTCCCTCCCCAACTACGCAGACAGTCAAACACATGATCCACGCGGGTTTATTACTACCCAACTTCATAGGAAAATCACTTTTCTGCTGTACTTGGGTCGGAGACCGGTGAGCAAGCAAGACTCCTCCAGAAGAAAATGGCGGTTTGTCTGACTATCTGACTGTCTGAGTGTCTGACTGTCTGAGTGTCTGACTGTCTGAGTGTCTGACTGTCTGCCTTTCAGTTCGGACCCTCGGACGTGAGTTGGTCTTGAAGAGTCTGACTAACACATAATCCACACGGCTTTATTACTACCGCGGAGCAGACACTCAGACACTCAGACACTCAGACACTCAGACACTCAGACACTCAGACACTCAGACACTCAGACACTTCCAACTACGCAGACACTCAAACACATAATCCACGCGGCTTTCTTACTACCCAACTTCTTCAGAAAATCACTTTTCTACTATACTTGGGTACGAGACCGGCAAGCAAGCAGGTCCCCTCCAAAAGAAAATGGCTGTTTGTCTGAGTGTCTGAGTGTCTGAGTGTCTGAGTGTCTAGGTGTCTGAGTGTCTGAGTGTCTGAGTGTCTGAGTGTCTGCTTTTCAGTTTGTGAGTGTCTGAGTGTCTGAGTGTCTGAGTGTCTGAGTGTCTGAGTGTCTGCTTTTCAGTTTGCGCCCCATTTGCACGTTCCCTCTAGATAGATATAGATATGTATATATATATATATAGATAGATAGATGCCTCCCAAGTGTGAGAGCCCGACTGTTCCGGGGCCCAGCCAAGCTCTGGGACTGAGGCAGAGAATGCTTCGACCGACGCTTCCAAGGCCGATGCCGAGGCCCTGTTGCCTGGAAAGTCTGCCACCAGCGACAGGGGAACCGGGGAGCTAGCAGAGATCTTGTCATATAGCAGGTTCCTTCTGGAGATCAGGGATTTCGCATTTAACCCGGGGCTTGCGATAATGGAAAGAAGAGCTCGGGCAGCACGGAAGCCTGAGGCCGGGGTGGGGAGCACATGCGCGCACGTGCGCACGCGTGCACCGGCGTGCGCAGACGTGTCAGTGAAGCATCGCTGAATAGCCGGAAGTGAGTCAGCGAGTTGCAGTTGGGGTTGTTGTCTAGGGTTTGTGATGTCATGGGAAAGTTTCAGGAAGCTTTTGTCGTGTAGTAAGGGTCACACATGCCGCCACGGCGACCCAATATTTGTTCATCTTGATTCATGACATGCAGACCGCACTTGAGTCAGCCCGTGATGTCCCCTCCTGGCTGCCTCAAGGCTCCGTTGAATATTGAAGGGTTCGGTTGTCAGGTCTACCAGGCGAGGCGTCAGGAAACCCGGAAAGTGAGTGGATGCTGGGTTGAATGGGAACGGCCGACAGCAGTGCTTGAGAGTGGGATAGCTACCAGAGGCAAGATTCCGCTTTAGGCGCTGCTTGAGGTTTATGTTTATGGGTTTGGCTTCTGCTCGGCGTGTTTCCCCGCGCCAGTGCACTTTGTGCATGGGGGAATTGAGGGGAAAGCGTGGTCCCCGCGCCTTGTTGAGGGGAGGCGTCGACCCTGCGCCAAATATACCGAGTTGAGGGGTGCAGTGTCCCCAAACCTGTCGACATAAGCCTTGTCCAGGTGGTCCCATCCACCCTCGCACAGGGTAGCTTTCTAGAGGTGTTTTCTGGAACCCTCCACACAGAGACCTGGGGCGCCAGACACTTGGCAGTGTGGAGGTGGCATCCTCGGGCTGTGAATTGGCGGACTTCACTGCCCAGGGCCCACAGGGCTGCAGGCTGAGCAGATATGGCAGTACTTTCCCTCTCAGCGGACAACCCTGTTAGATGGGCCAAGCAACTAATTTGTACAGGTAATTGGTGCCTGTGGCCGAGGGGTCGCAGGTTCAGTGCAGAATGTCTTGCTGTACACCAGAGGGCTGCCCTCTTACTGACACGAAAGGGATGAGGGTGGAGGAGGGACCCACAGATTGGGGCTGCCCTCTGACCGACTAGGGAAGAAGAGGAGTGGTTGGTGAAGCTTTGCAGCAAGAGGTGCCACCCTCTAGTGAGAGGCTGAGGCAAAGACCTCATAGGCTTGAGGTCCCACCCTCAGTAGTGGTACCAGTAGCGGAGAGCTTCTACCTGTACAGTCAGCCTCTGCTGCTCAAGTATTGTGGTAGTACATAGCAGTACGGACTCCGGTCCCAAACACCAAGACGGTGAACTCGCAAACCAATCACAACTCGGAAAAAATTGAATGGGAACGGAGCTGGAGGAGTCTCGCGTTGGGAAGCCTGTGTAAACCCAGAGCTGCGCTTTGAGGGGGAACGAAGAAAGAGAGACGAGGTTCTTCCGTTTCTCGACATCGTTTCTAGATCTTGATCTGAGTGATGAAGAGTTCGTGGGGCGTTGCTGGAGGAGCATCATGCCCACTGCTCCGTTCCCCCCCGAACAAATCTTGTCTCCTCCTTCTGCAGCGTGAAATTTCTCTTGACATGGTGGTTACCTCAAGTGGGGTGTGGCTGTCATAGTCCGGGCCGGCCTCCCTGAGTTTAGGCGATCGTGCATGCGTAATGGCGGCATCGTAGAGTTGCCAGTTGGCTTTCTGTAAGTCGGCGCCTCCTACGCAAACTGCCAGGATGCTGCTTCTCACCTGGAGCAGCCCAATGACCTGCCGCAAGAAGAAGCAGAGATCCACGTGTGTGCGTCCTGCGCGTCAGAACACTATAATCATGTCGAGGCCTTGTGCCGCGAGCTCAACATCGGCTGGGCCTTTGGCAGACAGGGCGACTTCATGGAAGACACTGAAGGTGACAAATGGTTTGGAAAGTGGCAGAACAGGGTTCTGCAAGCCATGCAAAGCTTGCTACAACCTTTCGAAGTCCGAGATGCCTTGGTCTGGGTCTACATCTTGATGATCACCGATGGCGGCAGCCGTAACTGCGAGAAGGAGCGAGACCGCATGCCAGAGTTAATGCAGTCGCTCCGAGAGGAGCGGAGGACATCAGCTTTGAAGATCAAAGTTGACAGCAAGCCCCTGAGAATAGAAGACTTGACAGAGAAAGTTCGCGACTTGACTGGAAAGCATCGTTGCTTCTGCAGGAAGGAACAATCTGACAAGGATAGTATTCAGAATTTCAAGACGTGACCGGTGCTTAGGTAAGATGCCTGCAGAGGACACAAGTGGAATTTGAGTCTGATTGAATTCAGAATTGCCAACTGTGCGTCGGTGTGTGAGAATAGCTAGACCAGGCCACTTCTGCCTTCCCCCCCACCCCTCCCTCCGCCCCATACACCCTGCAAACGCTGTGCACAGCGCGAGGAGAGCGAGGTACAACGGGTCTACCGTAAATTCCTGCTGAGCGGCAAGCACGACTTCGCCTGGTCCTTCCACCTGAAGTCAATAGCTTTGCAGGCCCGGAGCTAGTAATTTGCTTTGCAGGGAAGGAGTCTCATGGTGGGACAGGTTGCATCGGGTTTTAGGGCAACTGCTCGGGGGCCACAGGCTGAATCTGAGTCGGCCCAGTTTCTGATCCATCGCGGCGAACTGGTTGGGGCAGCATTGTTTGGAAGAAGAGGCGAAGGGCTGAGTGGTTGTGACGACAAAACTTTCCGCGAGCGTGTTGATCGACTCATCGCCTGCGTGGCTATTTCGGAACGGATAAAACCGATTGTTTCGAGATGGAAGATCCCGATTCGGTTCGATCCACAAAGCTTGATTGTTCAGAAGGCAGTGGAGTGGCGTTTGGACGTGGAGTCCGAAGAAGGCTTCGCGCGATGTCTCCGAGAAGTTGCAGCTACGAACATTGGGGATATCGGGGTGACGGCTGGCAACATCAAAGGCCAAGACCGTCTGCAAGTCTTCACGAAGTTTCACAGCGCCTTCGGCATTGACTCTCCCAGGCAGAGATGGGAAGAATTGAGCTGGATTGCAGAGGAAGCACGCAAGGCAGAGTTGCCTGCGGACCTCCTTGAGGAACTGCAGACCAAGCTTAGAAGGGAGGAGGAGAACCTGAAGAAGGCCGGAGTTCCCCCGCGCGTGTGTGGGTTCTTCGGGGGGGTGATGAAGGGGGCCGGGCAGGGGCTACCCAGAACATGCCAAAATCACCGGTATTTGCAATGTCTTGCATATTTGCACATCAAGGCCCAAACAAGCTTGCGAGTCATTCGCAGTGCTCTGGACGGCAAACGGGAAACCGGCTGACACAGTTCTGAACATGTCTGAGGTGAGGGGAACAGGAGACCGGCGGATACTCGCATATAGGCCTTGCCACCCTCTGGGACCAAGGTTATGCCCATACAGTATAGTCCTGCATGCTATAGGAAGCATACTGACTGTCCCGAGGAACTGGAACATCCCCTCATTTGTACATCACACAGCCATTCGCTACCAAGCCTGAGCTATCTCAAGGTTGCGGCCAAGTTGTTCAGATCAATTTTCTGATCCGAAGCATCAAAGAAAGCAAAACGACAAACAGGGAGGGAACAGCTCACCATCATTCTGGGGGTGGATGTGTCTGAATGCGATCGCAGGAGAAAGATGAAACGACTCGGGAGGCAGGCTGCAAACATCTTGTAGTCAACATGTGCTGGCTTTTCACCGGCTTGTATTCACTTGGTTCACTTGATCCGAGGGTGCAGGTTTGCAAAGAGTCATGGGGACCGGTAGTTGTCCGGCCAATCCCGCCTCACAGACCGGCAGCCCTATTCTTGCAGGACACCTGCGCCAAGTGGTTTTCCGAGGAGGCATTATTGTTGATTCCGAAAGGGCGGCCTGCCAGTAGCTTCTCTACGCAGGTGTCATTTCGAGGGCGCATCAACCCCGGTGCTCAGACTTGCTGGATTTCATATCCTGGGAAGTATGCAGCTGCCTGGCTATCTGCGGCATCCAATGAGGGGGCACAAGATTCCATTGCCTGCGTCTTTCTTGCCGAAACAGATGATGGTCCGGGCCCTGGTTATTTTCCTGGCAAGTCGTCCAAAGCACTTCGGGCTGTAGTCGATGTCTGCTTCGGGTATCAGTCTTTCACGAGGACGCCTAGCATTCACACTGTTTGTGGACAGAATGCCATACTCTGTGTCTGTGTGTAAGCAGGACCAGAAGTTGAACAGAACTCGATAGTATCGGCAACTCTCTTACTACCAGCCTCATGGACCCCCCCCGGCTTTCCAAGATCTGGAGGGAATGCAAGAGAATGGTCGGCAAGCAGGTGCGTGCGTGAACCAGATGTTGGGGCCCATCACTACTGCATAGACTTCTACAACATCAGCCAGCCAGCATCAGCCAGCATCAACCAGCATCAGCATCAGCCGCGACGCGCCATCATTCTACCATGCTTTTCAGCCAGGGCCTCCCAACCCCTTCGAAGAGTCGAGAGAGTCTGCATAGATTGAAAGGCCGCAACCTTGCCAATCTGTGTTGTGCGGGAGCCAGAGCCGGCAAACCGCTGCAATCCGTCGCTCCTTTAGGATGATTTTGCGTGTTCTCCCTGTCCCCTCTGCCCTTCTTAAGCCCCGTTGCGATGAAACCCCTCGATCCAACACAGCCACGGAAGATAATGAAAGCATCCCATCCACTAGTCACTAGTGAGTCCGCTCTATGATGCCGTCCAATGAGGCTATGGCAAGCACGACCCAGATCCTGACAAAGATGGCCTTCAGTGCTTCTGCCACAAGCTGTACGACGGACAAACCGAAATGGGCTGTGGTTGGTACACGCAGTGGATGGAGAATGTCAAGGAAGCTCGTCTTGAGTATGGGCAGCGTCTCAAGGCGGCCGTCTTTCCGGGCCAAGGCGTGGGGGGCTTGCAGAAAGTCGAGCTGGCAGCCGCCGACAGCATGGGCTGGCAGTATGATGAGATTGATGTTGCCGAAGAGCTTGAAGAGCGTTTCCCAAAGGGCTGCGTGGTCGACGCTTGGTGCGAGGAGCGGAACTGCTGGCGTAGAGGAACAGTCGAAGCGCAGAAGGGCTCCAGCAGCACGACATGCGAAGCAAACACTCTGGTGACATGGACTGTGCGGTGCGAGGGCGAAGGCGGCGAAGACGATGTATTTGAGGCCTCACACATTTGCGACACCTCGGTGGCCACCTCGGAGATGCTGCACCATCTTGGTCGGGACCTAAGGGACATGACATGTACATACATGTATCATGTGCGACAGTTTGGGACCTTGAGCTCACGCACTCCCTTGACAACCCAGGTCGTCCGAAGCTGCGGCAGCTAGTGCTGGAGTGTCTTCCAGATGTTGTTGTGCTGGACGTGGGTACACATCGGTTCCCCTCCGGCCTGTCTGCGCTCAAATTCCGGCTGGAAGTCCGCAGCATCGGTGCCCTTCACAGGCTCAGAGACCAAGTTCTGAGTGACAACCTGCAAAGACACATCAGCAGCAGCATCCGCGGTCCTTCGTCGGATTCGAGCTGGCAAGTCGAAGTTGACAAGACGCGGTTCTTCCTTTGGTACGAAGATGCCATGCTGCAGCTCAAGGAGCTGACGCCTCACCAGAGAAAGTGCCTTCGTGAAATCGACCATTTCGATGCGGTTCACCTGTCGGCCCCAGCCGGGGCAGGCAAGACTTTTGTGGCCGTCCAGCGCGTGATTGATCTACTGCGTGGTGATGCCTCCGCTCGTGTGCTTTACGTCTCCTACACGACTGAGCTCGTCTATTACTTCATACAGTGGCTGGTTGTACGATTGACATCCCAACTGCAATCCGAGTCCTGGAATGAGATCTGCAACCTTCTGGCCCGACTGGTGGTCTTGAAGAGGCCTTTCCGCTCGTTTCTCTCCCCAAGGCTGGAAAACGACCGCATCAACCTTGCTCCGGCAGAGAAGGTGGACAAGTTTGAGCTGTTGGTCCTTGATGAAGCTCACAACATCTTTCGAGCAGATGTCGAAAGAGACGCTCTTGATCGAGTCACCTGCACCAACCAACTACTTCTATCAGACGATTCGCAATCCTCAGCCGTGGAAGTGAATATTCCACCCATGGAGTCGGTGGTGCTGACAGAGGTCGTCCGCAGCACGCGACAGATCGTAGTGGGAGCATCATCTTTTCAGTTGGAGTCCCTTGCAGTGGCTGCTGGCACCGATGGACCCGCACTGAAGTCCTTCATCTTCGAGGATTCCGGAGAGCAGGACCTGATGTCCCAGTATGCCAAGCATGTCACAGACGCCATCGTGCACGTCACTAAGGAGTATCCCGACCTCAGCCTCCACAAGCGGATCGCGCTCTTGGTGCCAGATGACGATTTTTTGCGGGAGCTGAAGAAGGCTTTGAAGCCAGAACTGGAGCGCAGACTTCCACACAAGCACTATCGCTGTTACAGTTTCGCGGAATCCCTGCTCCATCTACCGGAACGGGCTCGAAGATTGCGGACTCAACCCTCTCAGCAGATGGAGCACCTTATCCTGGATACCATTGCAGTTGCTGATGGCCTAGAACAGCTCATCGTGGTGTGTATTGGGCTGGATGCACCGATTTGTGGAGCTGCCAGAGATCTGGCGACACGTGCAGGCCTCTACAAAGGCATTACGAGGGCCCAACTGAAGGCTATCGTGGTCAACGCACACGTCCCCAATGGCTGGTTCGAGTTTCTTAGCAGCGTACGGTTTTCTGAACAAGGGCTCTCTGAAGAAGAAGCATCAAAGTACAAATCCCATGCTGCAATCAAGATCTGCCAAGAAGCGAAAGATGACATAGGCAGGGCCAGGCCGTTCCAGGAACGGCCTCAGCCAGAGACACGCAGCGCCAGCACAGCCGACAAGAAGACCGATCCAGGCATGTCCCAGCCCGAGACAGAGAGCATTGCACCCGAAAGGGAGAAGATGCCACAGCACGCGTCTAGCGTTTGGGATACCAGGAACAACACGGTTCCGGTTCATGCCCAGAAGCCCATGTTCGACCCTTTGGCCAAGGACTGGGGTCTGCTTTTGGATCATGCCACTTTTATGTCCCTCAGATCATCCCAAGGAATATCTAGCAGCATGTGTCCAGCCCTCAGGACAACCGAGCCGCAGTCAGTTCCGAAGAGTTCCTTTTCGATCCGATGCCCCAGGACTGGAGACCACCGTTGCGTGCGCCATCCTTGTTCCTTTATTTTTTTGGTTCGGTGTCGCTTGTCTGTGCTTTTTGCTATCGAGCGGTGGAGGTGCTCGGAGCGGTCGTTCCAGTCCTCGGATGGGTTGGTTCGAGGGTTGTCTTATCCCCGTTCCCAAAGCCGAAAGGGCCAAGGCCTCATGCCCAGGGGCACACAGAAGACGTCCTCTGTGAGAATGCTTCGGCCTTGAACCCTGTAAGCCCCTAAAGAGAGGAAGACCCTGTCCGGTCCCACACCCGAACCCCATTTCCCATTTCAGAAGGTCAGTGGAGTGGACCAACCCTAAGAGCAGATGCATATAACCAGGCGAATGAGCTCTGGGTTCGGAAGCTACAGAAGCGACCTTGCACGACACAACCCCAAACTCGACCTTTGCGGCGTGCCCCTGTGCAAAGGCTGTTTTTGTCAGGGTGGTTTGTCAGGGGGCGACGTACCAAGAGCTTGCAAAGAGCATTTATGGAACCTCGAGGCCGTGTCCCTTTTTAGAGACCCAGACACCCCTCATGAGCCCGAAGCGGGGGTAGCTGCATCGATCTCAAAGAGAGGGCGCCCCTGAGACGAACACCCGATGCTATGAGACCCCCAAGCCGCCAAAGGAGATGTTGGCTGGCAAACCATCTTCTACACGTCTAAACCCTAAAGCCACCACAAAACGATAGTGCCTCGAAAAAAAGGGCAGGGGGCATACCCCAAACACGATATTTCGAGGCTGGGAGACCTGATGTTGGCAAGCTCAAGAGCCTCCAGAACCCTGTGGAAGTTGTCGTGGCTGCGGTTTCTTTCCTTTTTCACTTCTTTTCTCAGAAATCACTGACAGAGTTTGTGGGCGCTAATGATCCCAAAGCGGAGCCAGCGAATCCATGCGTAGCTTCTTCCCCAAACAGGAGTCGTTTGGGGTCCTCTCCTCCGGGAAAAAAAGGTGTCACGCACTTGGCTAGATTGGTGTCACGCGGTTTGGGTCCGCGGATGGTCTCCGATCATGAGCGACAGGGGTTGGGAGGGTGTCACGCGGCTTCGCACAGACAGTATATAGAAGTTGATGGCGCAATCAAGTTCCACTGTCCTGAGCAGAAATGCAGTTCAGGTGGTATAAACATATCCAGTACAAGCACAGAATAGGGTTTCTCTTAAGTGGGAAAGTCAGCTATAGGTGCTGGCACTGGCGAGCTCTGGACAGCCCACTGATGGAGCAAGTTTGTCGGTTTTGGAATGCTGTTGTGTAGGGCAGTTGGTTAGAGCATGTGCTTGTAGCATTCAGCTGGGTCATGCAAAGTTGTTGCAAGCCCTGGCAGATGAAGTACTACTACTGGCTCCAGTATGGGTTTCATGTGTACCGCCTGTTCCCGTGCTCCAAGCAAGAGTATGACAAGAACCGCTCGGTCTTCAAGGTGTATCCCAATCCCCATGACGGGAGACGGACGTATCCATCATATTATTTTGGCGACAAGCTCATCACACGCAATGCAACGTATCCGAGGCTGACTTATTGCAGCGACACGTACTTTTACGGGTACTTCAAAAGCTCCAAGATTGATGATGATGGCAATCTTCAAGGAGACCCATGTGATGTGATCGACTCGGACGACAGGTGGCCGGATCCGCGAACATAATAAACCAGCTAAGCTAGTTGGTTCCCGCCTTCACATCTGGAGCTCAAAAACTTCATATGTGCTACCGCGGCACTGCTGTCTTGCCATCTTTCTTTGTGAATGCGCATGAGGTTGCGGGACGTGTCGTGCGATTGGCAAGTTCTTGTTTAACCTTCATTGTTTAACCTTCATTGACTTGTCTGGAATGCGACCAACTCACATTGCACAGTTTTTAACGGTCAAGCGACGGGCCTATGCTTCTTGACGAGACATCTGATGCACGCACCTGCTTAGCGTGGCAAAATAGCTGCGGTAGCCTGATTCGGATCGGGAGTAGCGTGTCATGCTTGTTTGTTTGCGTGGGGGGTTGGGGGAATGCTTGCATTGCTGCACAGCTCGTTGGTCTGTCAGCCGTGTTGGCCCAGTTAATGGAAGATGCTGCCACAGCGCTGAGGAGCGCCATCTACTCGAGTGTTTGTGATGGCGTATGGCAGCCAAGCATTTCCGCAGGCGGACGTCGACATGGAGGGTATCCGGCCGTTTGATGGCAGCCCGCTCCCAGGAATTCTGAAAATGCTTTGCCCAACTCTTGTTTAACTGTTTTTTTCAGAACTTTGGCGAGGCCCTGTCAGCTCATTCTGGGAGGTGCAGGCCGCTGCTTCGCTCAAGAGAGAATGCTGTGCTCAAGACCTGATACAACATGGTACAGCAACCCTTGACCACTTCTGAAGGTGGATGCCAGATCTCCAGTCTCCTCTGGCACGCCGCAGGAATGTGCATGCTGGGCATCCGTTTACCTGAGATCTCCGGGGACTGCCCAACCCCCCGATGCATCCTGATGCCAGCGCTCTCAAAGAGAGGCGCATCTGAGACGAATGTCACCATGAGCATGATAGCTCTCAGGGCCCTAGAGGCTTAAAAGTGCTTGGCAGGCGCAGACCTCTTCACCAGGACCGTCAGTGCAGATTCTGATCGAGCGAAGCGACATCGCCGGATCTATCCTGACCGGAAAAGGAGCTCATCAGCCGAAAGATTGCGACATCAGGTTCTGCGAGAGAGTCGAGTGGCTCATCAAGTGTGCGAATGCTTCGCGACGCATCAGGCCGATTGTGGACAAGCGCTGGAAAATCCCGATCAGGTTCGACCCACAGAGCCAGCTCGCTCAATGGGCAGTGGAGAGAGAACTGGACCTGTCAGAAACGAACCTGGACTTGGAGAGAGACTTCGCAAGTTGCATACAGGACTTCGCCCCAAGCAAAGGTAACCAGAAGGGTCGTCTCAGGCTTCAGCTTTTCCAGAGGTGGCATCGCGCATCCGACATTCAGGTGGCGTTGCAGAGGGAGGAGGAACTGAAGTGGATATTGCAGGAGGCAAGAAAAGCAGAGCTGCTGGATGACATTCTGAAACAGATGAAATCAAAGCTGAAGGAGAGCCAGAAGAAGCTGCAGGAGGACAGGTGGTGTTGCTGCAGCCATCGTCTGTATATAAGTCTTCACCGGGTCAGCGAGCCACGTTTTGTCGGATGGAGGTCAATGCAATGCGAGGCAAGTAGCTAGTGAACAAAATGCGGTTGGACGTGTGCTAGGAAGCTGTCAAAACCAGAAAAGGGCTAGGGAGAGAGGGCGAGAGGCATCAACCACCAGTGACTTCAGCCGAGGCTCAAAGGGCTGCACAGTTGAAGCTTGATCACTGCTCTTGCAGGAGGTTTGGTACTTCGTGGAGATGCTGCACTTGACGCCGAAAGTGCGATCTGCCGGTGTTCAACTCAGTCTCTGACATCATGCAAATGGCACCCTAGGGCATCTGCAAGGACTGGGCTGAGCATGTAGGAGTAAGGCGACTTATATATGGTTCGACGTCGGGCGTCCTGCGCCCCCCCCCCCCCCCCCCCCCCCCCCCCCCCCATGGCACCCCAAGACCCTTGACCCTAGCGGAAACCCTGTGAACCCTGAAAGGGGGGAGCTAAAGCCCTCAACCCTAAAGTCTTAAACCCTAAAGCCTAAAACCAAAGTCTTAAACCCTAAAGCCTAAAACCCTGCAGCCTAAACCGTCAACCCGTAATAAGAAAGCCTAAACCCAAACCCTAAACCCAAACCCCCAACCACACCACAGGGGGGGGGGCAAAGTCGAAGGCATGCACAAGCAAAACTATACTAGTATAGTACAAGCACAAGCCTAAACCCAAACCCCCAACCACACCACGGGGGGGGGGGGGGGAGCTAAAGCCCTCAACCCTAAAGTCTTAAACCCTAAAGCCTACAACCCTACAGCCTAAACCGTCAACCTTTAATAAGAAAGCCTAAACCTAATCCCTAAACCCAAACCCTAAATCCAAACCCCCAACCACACCACAGGGGGGGGGGGAGCTAAAGCCCTCAACCCTAAAGTCTTAAACCCTAAAGCCCAAAACCCTACAGCCTAAACCGTCAACCCTTAATCAGAAAGCCTAAACCCAAACCCTAAACCCAAACCCCCAACCACACCACAGGGGGGGGGAGGGGGGGGGGGGCAAAGTCGAAGGCATGTACAAGCAAAACTATAGTAGTATAGTACCATAGTATAGACCATTTGGGGGGGGGGGGGGGAGTAGGGGGGGGGGGCCGCCGGGGCTGAACCATATATTTCGAAGGCCTCTTGTATATTTCGAAGGCCTCCATCCACCTGGAACCCCAGCCAGCACAAGGGTCCAAATTGGATGTGTGAGAGGGCAGCAATGCCATTGTCCTGCTGGTGCACAAACAAACGTCATGTGGAATTCTCAGACTGGCTTGTTTTCGTTGGTAGAAACAAACGTACTAGCAAAAGATGAGTATCCAGCACCGTTTATAAACTTGTCTAGCCGTTGGGAAAATGTATATCACCGTGCTCGTAGCTGTTGTCGACCTCCACTTCCGCCGCCCGGAACTGCTTGCGGGCTGTTTTCCTCCCACGGGAGAGAGACCCATGGGCCAGTCACAGAACGAGTAGACACAACGTGATTCATGCTGCTAGCTTAGGCCATCGCAAGCACGATGTGGATCCCGAGAACGAAGGCAAGTGCTTTTGCTACAAGCTTTACGGCCAAAGGATGGTTTGGGGCTGCAGCTGGCACAAGAGATATCTTGAATATGTCCATGAAGCGGTTGCAACAATTCACAGAGGAGAGGAGGAACAGCAATACCATCGCGTAGACGACGGGCATGCTCTCACACAGGATTTTCCAGAAGGTTATCCGGTGGATGCATGGTGCGAGGTGACGAAGTCATGGCGCCGAGGAGTCGTGAAAGAGAAGCGAACAAGGCAAGAGGATGGTTCAGCCAACGTGGAGGCACTCTGGACCATTCAATGCGAGCACAGCGAAGGGACTTTTCATTCATCTTTCCTCTGCGACACAGCCGTGGCTACAAAGGAGTTGTTGGACCACTTTGGCAGGGGCCTTAACTAAAGGAAAAGTCAAATTTCAGTGGCTCCCCGCTTTCCTGCGTTCTTGTCTCCACACGCTGAGCTAGTTACGCAATGATTCTTCGCTGGCTCCAGACATCCCGTCGAGCTAAGGTCACCTAAAACTCCGAGAGATCTTCATTGAGCGCCTGAAGCGCACGAGCGTGCTTGACATCCGCGCGGCGCGACTCGGCTCTGGCCTTTCATCCTTGATGATCAAGCTAGGGATGCCTAACATCGGATCCCTACATTATCTCAGGGATCGGTCAGTGGCGATCTAGAGGAGGAGATCAATAGAGGTCTGTCCGACCGGAGCTGGCGGGTTGAAATGGACAGCGCCAGTTTCCTGGAGTTCTACGAGCACACGTTGCTGGCCTTCAAGGACCTCGCACCACACCAGAAAAAGCATCTTCAGGACATCCAACGGTTTGATGAGGTGCACTTGTCGGCCCCGGCGGGGGCCGGCAAGACTTTTGTGGCAGTGCAGCGTGTCATCGACGCTCTCACGGAAGAGACAGAAAAGGCTCCTGCCCATGTACTCTATGTGGCTCCTACTGTTGAGCTCACCTACTATTTCATACAATGGATGATTGTACGACTGGCGTCGCAAGCGGAGTCCCGGCTTGTGAGCGAGATCAATGAGCTTCTACAGCGCATGGTGGTCCTGCACAGCCCTTACCAAGCACTGCTTTCGCCTAGACTGGACGAGAAGGATCGGCGCATCACCCTGGAAGTTGCGGGCAGCATCGACACGTTTGGGCTCACAGTCATGGACGAGAGCCACAACCTGTACGCAGAGGGTGTGGACCAGGGCATTCTGGCAGATCTCAAGAGCCGCAGGAGGCTGCTTCTCTCGGACGAATCGCAGGCTGCAACCGTGAGCACCAGATTCCCCGAGATGCACCGAGCCAACCTAAGAGAGGTCGTCCGAAGCACGAGGCAGATCGTGCTGGGCGCAAGATCCTTTCGATCTGACACTGGGGCGGTCACATCCACCGGCACAGACGGGCCGCCCTTGAAGTCCTATCTCTTCGATGCTTCGGACGCCAAAGGTGAGTTTGAGCTTTATGCACAGCACGTCGCGGATGCCATGGGCACGTTGCAGATGCATATCCCAACATCAGTCTCCACCAACGACTCGCGCTAGTCCCGGATGAGGAGTTTCTCAAGCAATTGAAGACGGCCCTGGCGCCTGTCTTGAAGAGCAAGCTTCCAGATCGCCACCTTCACTTCGTCTCCTTCCAAGAGTCCTTGCGCTCCTTGCCGGAGCTGTTTCGGACCCTCGGCAGTCAGCCTGTGCAGAAGCCCCAGGAGCAGTTGGAGCACCTCGTTCTGGACACGGTGAGCGTCACAGATGGCCTGGAGAAGCTCATCGTCATCTGTGTCGGGCTGGATGCCCCGATTCGCCGAGGTTCTGGCGATCTTTTGACCCGCGCAAACCTTTACAAGGGCATCACGCGGGCCCAGCTGAAGGCCATCGTTGTGAACAAGCGCGTCCCGGAGGGCTGGTTCGACTTCCTCGCCAACGTCCGTTTCTCCGGCAAAGAGCTTTCCGAAGAGGAGGCATCGAAGTACGGCCCACAGGCCGCAGCGAAGATCTGCCAAGAAGCAAAGGACGGCACGGGCAGTGCCGCACAGGAAGACGAGCCAAGCACGCACGACAGCAGGAGCAGAGAGGAGGCCAGGCCGAAGGCAAGCGTTCCGGATGAAAGGCCGTCGGATCTGAAGAAGGAGAACTCCCACGTAGAAAGGTTTCAGCCAGAGACAAAAGCTACAAGCAGGAAAGCCGATCCAGACATGTCTCAGCCGCAGACACACAGCACCAGCACAGCCGAAAGGGAGTCTGAGTTGACAGGAGACTCGGAGACGACGCCACAGCACGAGTCTAGCATCTGGGACACCAGAAGCAACACGGTTTCGGGTTATGCCCGGAAGCCCATCTTCGATCCATTCGACGAGGACTGGCGGTCTTGGGATATATCCCAAACCCTAAGCACTAAAGAGCCGCTAAGCCGCTAAGCCAAGCTTATAGCCTTGCCGTGGTGTCCCTCGCAGCGCAAGTAAGTACATGCGGACCTGGTGGAAGGCCTCGTCAGAATATCCCACAGTGTGTCCGATGATGTCTAGTTTTTTGGGACATCCAGGAGAGCCGAGTTCCGGTCAATTCCGAAGAGTTCCTTCTCGACCCGATGCCCCAGGACTGGAGACTGCCTTGTTGCGTGTGCTGCTTTGTTCTGTGCTTGTGCCTTTCGTTCCGTTGTCGGGTGCTTGGAGTTGTCGTCTCATCGTTTTCGCATGGATGTTTCCATGGGCAGGATTTGGAGGTGCGTGCTGAGGGTACCGCAAGTTTTTGCCAGTCTTCCAAGCCCCAAAGCCGCAAGGGCCAAGGCCTAAAAACCTCCAAAGCCCGTACCCACGAAGCACAAGCGAGAAGAAGACCTCTCCGAAAATGTTGTCCTCAACTTCGGAGACAGGAAGAGAGAAGACCCGCAAATCCCAAAAGGCTGTGGACACCCTCTATAGCACCTATAGTGCATCGCCTACGTGCGGAGACAGTCAAAATCTTTCGACCAGAGCCCGCGATCTGCCAAGTGAACCTTAGGAATCTCAAGCTGCCCTTGCTTGAAAGTCTTTTGAACCTGCTTGAAAGTCTTGAAAAGTCTTGAAACAAAATCTTTGAGGATCTCATGGAAGTTGGGTCTCCCGGGAGTCACAGCGCGTCGGGGCGGGGAGGGAGGGAGGGGAGAGGAATGGAGTTCCGCTGCAGTATACGGCCAGCGTACACAGCTGAGCTGCCTCCATTTTCAGCAGAATCCGGCACCCTCGCACATCGTCTAGCAGGCAGGAACTTCACGGGAAAGGGTCGCGTCGGGTCGGATCAACCAGGCGTGTCGTGCGGGGCATGCGGCCGTGCAGAGTCTACGCAGCTACGCACAGTCGGCCTTCAGCCGGCGCATGCTCCGAGATGCCCACGAGCTTATCCACGATGGAAGGGCGAAGCTGAAGTACACATGGAGAATCCCGGTGCCTGCAGCAGCTTCAGCTTCATGGCAGACCTGTACAGGACCAGCCCAGGGAGCCTTTCGATGAGGAAGCAGAGAGTTGGCAGAAGGCTCGCAGCGAACTTTGGTTTTGCTCTTGCAGCGGACTTGCGCATTGTCCCTGTGCACCGCCTGTTGTTGTCAGGGTGGTGGTTGCAACATGCATCTTTTTTGTAATTAGACAGCAGCAACAGCAGCGGCGGCGGCGTAGGGAAAGGCATCTCCAGGCAGCTTCTTCAGAGGGAGTACATCTGAGAGCCTTGCCGCGCTGCAGTAAACGGCGAAGCTGCTGCATAGTTGGATTCGGTGCGCAGCGAAGAAACAAAGTGCGAGCGTGAGCACTGCTTTGTAGCTTTTTGTGCTATCTCTCAGATGTCAGCTCGGAACTTTCGATGTCGGCAAAAGACATACGCCGACAAGCGGTTTCCGAGGCAAGATGGGTTTTCGGATTCTTGGGGTGTAACAGCTCGGGCTTATAAGTTGTGCAGACTTGGTTGTGGGTGTTTGTGCTTGACGGGCTTTACGTATGGGCTGAGAATCTTCCCTCACCAACCAAAGCGTGGGAGCAGCTGAACGCCGGAGTTGGGCTTTTCGGAACACACCCTGATAGCCCTGGGAGAGTGCTCCTGAGATCCAAGTCGTTGGACTAGTTTGAAACCTCGAAGCCACTCAGGTTCGGGTCCACCGTGCAATGCACCATCTTGAACTTGACGTGCCGAGCGGAAAAGCCTCCTTCACCCCGAAACACAAGTCCCAACACGTCCTGCGTGCCACGCAGACGCAGACGAAGGCGACAACGCCTACGAGTCTGGGCCTGGGAACTTGGAAGCCCCGGAGTAGGGGCAAAAGGAGCGGGGACATCCTGAACGCCTCTGTTGACCTCCGTGGCATGTTGTGCACCCCTCAACATTCGGAGGCAGCTTTGTGCGCGCCCGCTGCGGCTCCAGGAAACACATCCCACAGCTAGTCCTTGTCTAGGGGCAAAGCACCTTTGGGGATGGAAACCCTTGGGGGAGCCCCAAGCACTCAGTCGTTCTCTGTTTCAGCCTCGATGCTTTTTAAAGCTCCTCAACCCTGGACGTGGGGCAAATTTTGTGAACTCCTCAACATTCGGAGGCAGCTCTGCAAGAAAAAACATCCCACAGCGGGTCCTGGGGCCAATTCACCAAGCCTAAGACGACAAACCTTTTAAGGAGATCTGCAGGGCTTTTGGGGGTAGACTCTACGGAGCGGGGCTCCCGCTGCAGCTTGCGGCTGCCATGGTTGACGCCGGACCCGAACCGAGCCATGGACACTTCCACGTCTTCCAGGTTGGGGCCCTTCCTCCCTTTGGGGGGTTTGTCATTTGGCTTTCCGCACGGCTGCGAGCTGCGGACGGCGCGCGCTGTGTCACAGCGCATATATTGCCTATAGCCTATAGGCATGCAGGCTATAGGGACACGCAGCCCGCGAGCCAGGTCGGCTTCGGTGCAGCCTTCGGAGACCTCCGTCCCCGAGCCCTGCAGCGCGCCCTCGGAGAAGTACCTCCTCTTGGACACGGAGGACGAGCTTGAGCTGCATGCGGATGACAAAGCTCCGGCCCTAGCTTCGGTTCTCTTCTTAAATCGTTACGAGTTGCAGATACCGATGCCACTGCAAAGAACGTTTGTGTTGACATGATCAGCGTCGTGATCTCCTGCTTGGCATTTTGTCAGCACTCCACAACTTGCATCAGTGAACATTACACGTTCAGGCGTTGAACGTGTCCGAGCAGGACCCTCAGCTCAATTTCAGTCCTCACTTCTTTTTGATGAAGAGCCGAACTCTTAAGAGAGCTTCTTCAATCAAAAAGTGTCGGCGCCAGCTTGGGCCCCTGGAGGTGGGCCCCTGCCTCCCGTCCCTGTGGCGCACGAACGCTCTTCTTCTGGTGTGCTCGGTGGCCTTCTTCGTCGCAATCTACAGCACCAGGCCGAGACAAGGGATGCTGCGTGATGCTGCAACAATCTGCAAGACACTTCCTCCAAGAAAGCACAAAAGTGGCAGCTGTCGGATTGTCGCCCTGAACCAGAATCTCGGGGGCCCCCCCTGCCCCGCGAGGTCCTGCGTGGATGGCAGCACCTATCCCATGCCGCCGAACTGGGTTTGGCTCGCCTTCTTCGTGCCGGTGCTGCTTCATCAGCTTTGGGCAGATCCTTCTCGGCAGCACCCTCTCTCTCTTTTGTTGTTTGGTGAGCTTGCGCGTTCTCAACATTTCAGGCAGGAACGCAAGGCAGTTGGGCCAACTGAGGAGCAGGAGGCTGTGGAAGTCCTTCTGCCATGCTACAAGCGCCACATGAATCTGCACCGCCTCGAAGACGGCTTCTCGCTCATGGGCCTCTTCCCATCCTCGGAGGCCTGGTGGCTTCGCGTGCAGCAGCTGCTTCTGCTCATGAGCTCCGTGGACGTCTTCACCGACACCTACTTTGCCAGCACCATGGGCCTGGGAGGCGGGGCGTTGAAAGTTGCCAAACGTGTGTGGAAGAACACACAAAAGCGCCTCTTGCAGCGTCCCAGCGTGCAACCCGCACATGTCAGTACAGCGAGGCTCTGAGGATGCTACTCTTAGCCGTAGCTCAAAGGCTTAGTCTGTAGTGATGCCTTCGTTCCCCGAGTGGGCCCCCCCCTCCCCCCCCCCGCCCCCTGAGGCACCAATGCCTGCTCACATGGAAGGACGCAAGAGATTTGGAACTTCTGGTGGAGGCCCCCTCCTGCCTCTTCGTTTTTCGTCTTGTATTGTGGGGGAGAGAGGGGGGCCGTGCGTCCCGAAGTCGCAGATCCCTCAACAGGGATCCCTTCAGCTTTAGTTGACGTGGCGCCGTGTGACTGACGCTCACTCCGCTCCGAGCCCGGAGGCTCCTGCGCCTTAACATGCGATGCGTCCCGGAAAGAGAGGCAGTTGATCCTGGAGCACCTACTCCACCCTACTCCCAAACCCTTGTTGTCTGCTTCGGCTGGAGATTTGGAATATATGAAACATGGTGCTGTTACGGGTATGCTGGTGGCACCCACCCCCAAGGGTGGGGGTGGGGCAAGTGATTGATAACACATTGGCTTGTTGGGGGAGGTTCTTAAAAAAAAACAGCAGTTGCATGCAGTTCCACTTAAGTATCCATGTGGAGATCCTGTGGAGGCAGAGTATCTTCAGCTCGCTGCCCTTCGTGGTTCCCCTAGACGTGCTGATCTCGGCGTCCTGGACCTTGATGCTCTTGCACCTTGTCGTGGCCTGCGCCACTCGGGCTGGCTGCTGAAAACAACGGTGCAGAGTCTCCAGGGGCTCCCTAAACACCCTATAGTAAAACCCATCTACGTATATATATATATATATATACATATGTAATTATATATATGTATGTATATATATATATATATACGCATGTATGTATGTATGTATGTATGTATGTATGTATGTATGTATGTATGTATGTATGTATATATATATATACATATACTTGTTTATAGCTTGTAAGCCCGCGCAAGATGCGTGGCGGCTTGAGGCCACCATGGTCCGGAAGAAGGGGCCCGGCGACAGAGGTGACGACGCCCCTGCTGTCCTGCAGTGACAAGGCCGCCGCATGTCAAAAAAGTGTGCCATGCAGCATCATATACAGCCTCCACGATGCCACGTTGCTCGGAGAATTGGGCCGTGCCGAAGCGCACATGACCCTTTCGTAGGTTGTTCAGACGCAGGGGTTGCTCGGACCACAAAAGACACTGATGGAGGCAAGGCTATGTTCAACATTCCTTGTAGCGACTACTGCAAAATTGGGCTGCGCAAAAATAGGGCTTTTCAGAAGGGCGGGGGAGAGGTACTGGGCGTGTTGCCGAGCAAGCGTCAACTTGAGAACTTGCTTGGTCAAAGGGGGGCAGACTCCTTCACATTAAGGTGTGGTTTCTAGAGGGTGTGAACCGGGGGAACCCTCTTCTCAGCTCAGAGCGTTGTTCAGGACACGTTGTTCAACGACGACGTGTGCTTCCAACTCGGTGAATCTGCGGGGTTCTCGTCCGTAGTCCAGATGTCCAACAAGCTGTACGTCCTCCAGATGAAGAAGAACGTCTACAGGAAGAAAGGCTACAGGACCGGGTTCCAGGCATGGTAGACGTGCCTCATGCACGCAGCAAGAGGCATGTCGCATGTCATCTGCAATGGAGGTGATATGGAAGGTTCCTTGAGGATCCTTCAAGCTTGTAGTCAGGCATCTGCAAATCGCTTCGTCAGGATCATGGGGTATGGCCTACCCCTATCTCAAAAGTATGTGCGGCGCGTCTGCTTCTCGTACCTTCTGGAGAGCCTCTGAAACATGCAGTGTGCGTAACCTGCCGTGTGCCCTAGTAGCTAAAGCCCCTTACCTTGCCTGCCCGCTTCTGGCTGAGGGATGGCGTGAAAGTGGTGCTGCAGTCATGGACGTTGGCAATCAACACCCACCAGGCCCGACTGGTTTCCAGAAGTCAGAAGACCGCCGCGACCGCCGTTTTCCCCGAAGTACCGATGCGCCTTCACGTTGGAGGGGGGAGCAGAAGTTGGGATGCGTGTTGGAGCTTCGCCCGGCCCGGAAAGCAGTTCGCAAAACCCGGGAAAGAAATCAAACCAAAAAGGCTCTCGCTGGCATCCAGCTGCCTCATCTAGGCCGTTCCAGAGAAAAGGGATGAATGGGGCCCGGGCCCGCAATGGGGGAGGTGTAGATTTCCGTAGATGTCCCGGAGCTGCAATTCCGGTGCTGCCGTTTGAGGGGCTTTTGCCAGACCTTGGCAGACCCAGTTGACAAGTATGGACCTCTGAGCTGGTCGCTCGTCACGTTGTTTTTTCACCCGCGTTCCTGGTGAAGCGACGCGGACCCTGCGCCTGATGCGCGTGTGAGTGTGCCCGTGTGAGGCGCGCCAGCTGGCGCTGCTCCCGGCGCTGTCCCTGGCCCTGAGCTTCCTCATGGGCCTCGGGAAGATGAAGGAGATGATGTGGTTCTTCCAGGTCCGCAGGCTCATGGATGACATGGCTTTCAGGACAAGGGCCGAGAACAGTGCCGGGAGGGAGGCAGAATTCGAGGCCGGCCTAAAGGTGTCGGCTGCCATGCGGTGCTCGTGGGCCTTGCCGTGCTCTTGATGGCGGGCGCCTTGTTCATCGCGTGCTTCACGCTCTACGCGGCGCAAGCCTGTCCCGGAGGGATCAGGTCTTTGACTGGATGCGTGGACATCCCGTGACATTCTCACTAGCTTCGAGGGTGTTTACCCTCGTTCTGAGCCTGACAGTGCAGAGAGAAAGAAAGGAATGGACAGTAGCCTGTGCTGTGCATAAGCCTCACTGGTCTCTTGCTCCTCAAAGCCCATGTCGTGACTGACCCCCGCCCGAGGCTTCGTTCGCTTTTGATTCATTGTTCGTAGCGGAGGAGGAGGGCACCGGGAGAGACCTGAAGCGTCCCAGAAGCGCCCCCGAGTCGGCGATAAGAACGGATCGCAGCGGCATTCGCAACCAGGGCTCGCGCTTCTGGGGCTGTGCGTGGCGCACACCTGGCACCCCCTGTTAAAGAAACATCAGCAAGCCCCGAAACCCACCCCCTGAAAGAGGGGCAAAAAAATTGACGAGGGGGTCATCCCCAAGTCCGACACCCCGAGGATCCCCGAGGCTTTGCAGGAGAGAGCGCTGCTGAAAGTTGTGCGATCCTTCGCTCGCGTGCCATGTGTGCCATACTTGTCTCAAGCAAGGGTGGAGGGGTTCCGCGGAGACGGGAAGACATGCTCGGAAGCCATAGCCTCTTAAGAGCTCTACACTGTGAGCTTGAAGGGTCGAGCGTGTTGCTTGGTTTCGGTATCCCGCACACTTGTCACCCTTTCGCATCAGAAGGCGCGAAAGTTAGGCACTGGCTGTGACGTATGAAGTGCCCACGGTAATTGCATCCACTGATCAATGCTGAATCCCTCTAAGCGCCTTCGTACACCCCGACGGCTCTGATGAAACGTAGGAAAAGCTTCCCTAAGCTCCCGAGCTCCGTACCCCTGTCAAAGAACGAGGGCTCGGTGTTCGTTGCGGCCATGGCAGCCGGCCGCGTGCCTGACGGCAGGCAAGGCTTGGGGATGTCGACCCCGCAAGCCTGCGGCCCTGAACCCCTCGCTCGACCCCCTAAACTGCAACTGGACCTCACCTGTAGGGATTAAGAGGGCCAGTGCCGGGTAGGTTTTCTCCCTCTCTCTCCCTCTCTCTCCCTGTCTCTCCCTCTCTCTCCCTCTCTCTCCCTCTCTCTCCCTCTCTCTCCCTCTCTCTCCCTCTCTGGCAGATTCATGCCTGAGCCGCGCGGAGCTGGGGTGCTGGCGACTTTAGAGCTCCGTCTCTTCGCCCGCTAGTCTTCCTGAACTTCGACCTCCTTCGGCAAGGGTGCTTGGGTGAGATGTCAATTCTTGTGAGAACTTTGAGGATGTCGTGTAGACGGGGTTGCCCTCTTGCGTGCAGAGAGTACCAGCTACAGCTATGTCTCGTCTTTAGTCCTATAAGGTCATGTTCACTTGGCCTTGCATACAGCTGCACAAGCCCGTTGAGCTTGTAGACATGAAGGCCCAGCAGTGCCATACGATGAGAGAGTGCAAACAGTTTGTCCACTGCGAGCCTTCTGGAAGAGCAATTTCTCGTAAAAAGCAGACGGAAGGCTGAGTCTCTTCGCGGCAGCAAGACAAGGCACGGAGGGCTTTTAGTCGGATTTAGTCGCTGTGGAATGCGAGCCCATGTGAGCCATGTGTCCCTGGAAGGCGGGTTTGAGATCCACTGAACGTGCTGCCTGCATAGAGGAGTCGGAGCACGGTTTCAAAACGAAGCGCCCGAAGCGCCTGCGTGCGTGTCGAGGTCCGGGTCAATCATCAGAGCGCGGGGTAGAGCACAGCACGGCACGCTCTGCAGACGTGGATTCTTCCGCCTCGCCAGCTTCATGTGTCAGCTGGTACAGTGGGTACTCAAGTGCAACTTGTGTAGGTCCCGTGCAAACCCTCCAGTCCTTGCCCGAGCCCTTCTTGAGCCCGTCTGATCCTTTTCAGACGTGCAGCTCCATATAGTCTACAGACGATGCCTACAGGCGTATACAGCTCCATGGTCCATGGTACACAAAGACAATAAGTGACAGCCACTGACGACTTGTTCCCAGCGATAACGAATCGCAAGACCCCGTTTCACCTCGGCCTTGTCTGGTCGACCATTTCGTTGATGGTTTCCAGCTTCCAGCACCCCTAGCTGCTCCTCGGGCGCGCCAAGCCGCTCAGCTTCAGCTTCATTGCTGACGCTGAGGGCCTGCAGCGGCCGGCGCGATGGGCTGCTGCCAGGCTGGGATGATCCTCATGAGTGCTCGGAATGATGCACAGGTGTAGCAAGCAGTGCCTTCTGTGAGCGGCAGTCATCATTGCATGCACACGCATACTGTCCGTGATGAGGGCTCAGCCTCCGTGGTGCCTCTGGGGCCACCGAGCAAGGAGGCAGTGGAGAATTGCTCACCGTAGAACCACCGCCACATCTGCCACGCATTAAAGCTCCAAGAAAGCAGCAGAATGCATCTAAGCCCCATACTGAGGCCCCCATAGTCCGGGTCGAGATTGTTTTTGACCGTTGGGTCTGCAAAATGTTCACCGTATGCTCACCCAACTCCTTGGATCGAAGCTCATTTCCAGACACGTCGCGTTCAAGAGTGAGGTCTCACACTTGCCTGGTCATGTAACACGAGCTTCATTGCCCGCAAGCCTATAAGATCCTGTAAGTCCTGCTCCCTTTCCCCATTTTCAGTTCCAAACCAGGACAGACTGCCTCTCATTTTCCGCACAGCGGACAACTCCATCCGAATCTGCACTTCCTGCCCGTCAAACCTCTACAACCACGTCGAGGCCTTATGCAGCGAGCTGGATATCAGGACGGCCTTTGGCAGAAAGGGCGACTTCATGGAGGACACCGAAGGCGAAGATTGGTTCGGCAAGTGGCAGAACAGAGTCTTGCAGTCACTGGACGACGCCCTCCAGACGAAGAACCGCGAAGGGCCCTTTTCCATCTACAGTTTAATGATCACCGACGAGGACAACAAAAACTGCAAGAGGGAGCAAGAGAACATGGAGGAGTTAGCCGATGCGCTACAGCATCAGCGGGGGGACTCGTTGAGCTTCTCTGTTAGTTCTTGCCTGGTGTGCGTCCAAGACTTGACCACGGCGGTTCGCAACATGACCGATCGGTTTCTTGCGTTTGTTGCTAAACCCGCAGGTGCCCAAACACCCAACCTCAAAAGCAGCGAGGGTTCAACATGTCACAGGATGCATTCTTCCTGTCCCCGAATGACTGATGCCCAGGTAGTTTACAAAGAAAGGACGGGTGTGCCCGCTGAAATCAACTTCAGTAGTCAGAGCTGAGTGCGGAAACGTCTTTTCGCTCAAGTGATGGCAACATGCCGCATGCCACAATTCACTATCTCAATTGCCCTTGTGCTCGTGACAGGTTGCAAGGCTAATTTTGTTGGCGGGTTGTTGGGGTTTCTTTCATGCGAGGAGCACGATGTCCAGCGGGCTTACGAGCAGTTCCTCAAGTCGGGCAAGCACAAAGATGCCTGGTCCTTCTACCTGATGACCATGGCTTTGAAGGCCCACGGCCTTGCTAGATGCTTTGAGGGGTTGAGGATGCTTCTATGTTGTTTGCACGCCCTCTCCGCGAATTGCAAATGTCGTCAAGAGCCCGCAAGCACTCTTTCCCCGAGAGGGGGCGCTGGGCGGGGCAGCAAGGACACTGGGGGGGAAAGAGGTGGCGCTGCGGAAGCTGGAAGATCCCATGTTGCAAGGGCACTTCGCAACCAAAAAGCACCTCATGAACTCAAGTTGCTTTCGGATGTTACCTATGTGCGATGCGTGTACTGATCAGTCATGTTTATCATTGTTATGAATCAATCTCTCTCTCTCTCTCTCTCTTTCTCTCCCCCCCTCTCTCTCCCTCCTGTATGACCCACCCCCCCAATGATCTACACCTCGTCTGGTAGAGCATAGTCACCGTGGCTCCGAATTCCGAATTATTTGTGTTCTTCAGCTTGAACTCCAAACAGCTTTTCAGCTGCGATCGGCGCAAAAAGAACATAAAAGAACTCCCAGGGAATCCATGTGCTGGTGAAGCAACCAAAGCCCGAATCCTGGTCCTGTTGGTTGGGCGTCAGCGGCTTGGCAGGCACAGACCTCGTCACCAAGACCATCGGCGCAGCGTCTGATAGATCGGGGCGATGTTCTTGGAACTATCCTGACCGAAAAAGGCACCGATCAGCTGAACGATCGCGATACGAGGTTCTGCGAGAGAGCCGAGTGGCTCCTCAGATGTGCGGATGCTTCGCGATGCATCAGGCCGATTGTGGACAAGCGCTGGAAAATCCCGATCAGGTTCGACCCACAGAGCCGGCTCGCTCAATGGGCAGTGGCGCAAGAACTGGACCTGTCAGAAACCAACCTGGACTTCGAGAGAGATTTCGCAAGTTGCATACGGGACTTCGCCCCAAGCAAAGGAAACCGAAAAGGGCATCTCAGGCTTCAGCTTTTCCAGAGGTGGCATCGCGCATCCGACATTCAGGTGGCGTTGCAGAGGGAGGAGGAATTGAAGTGGATTTTGCAGGAGGCAAGACAAGCAGAGCTGCCGGATGACCTTCTGAATGGTGTCGAATCAAAGCTCAAGGAGTGCAAAGAGGAGCTGCAGAAGGACC